AAACACAATAAAGTGAAAGACAAATAATAATAATATATGCTTATTTAATCAACTATATGCAGCTGATATGAGTTCAGTTTAAAGATATTTAGTGTTAAAACAGCAGAATCAGCCCGTACAAGAAGGCTTACTGTTTGAAATATGATTAAAAAACACATCAGATCATGATAAAATAATTTAAAGAGGAATTATTTTGAGATACTAAGTCATCAAACTTTCTCATTATAATGACTTTCCCCTTGCTTTGGCGGAAATGGGCTTCCATAGAGTTACATCCGCTTATAGGAGTGCTTCTCTTCCCACAATGCACAGCGGCACACTGCGCTTTATAAATGTATGCGTGACTTCCGCTCTGCCTCTCTGTCTGCTAGAAGCATGCTGTACAGACGGCTGTGCGGCTCGGTGCCCCGTAAGGTCTGTACTGAAGCTGGTTTTAACTTGTGTTGGTGTAACAGCGCTCATACATACACGTTACTGAAGGACGTAAACGCCTCACTGCAGAGTGAAACAGTTGGTAGCTAACGAAGAGGTGAACGTCTGACGGTAGTTGTAGACATAATGGCGGTTAGTGTTAGTTAATGTTAACTTAACGTTGTTAAAGAGTACAGTACAATGCAGTGTAAAAGAGTTAAACAACTACTGGAGCTGATGTTACGGGTCAACGTGCGCAACACCAAGCACGTGAGAGCAACAACTGGGCTGCTGCTAGCTAAAACAGGTCGGTAGGAAACCGCACAAAGAGCACAGAAGCAGCTCCGATACTAAACCTCCGGGTGAATGAAGGGAGAGGAGCTCATTGTGGTACCGTCAGTGTTTCCCGCTCCTGCTGGGTAGAAGACGACCTCCTAATGGAGCTAGCATAACCCGAGAAATGCTAACAGTACACCCCTCGTGCGTTCTTCCAGGGGGCCCAAAGACCCTTCACTCGGTCATGTGATACTTGTTGACTAAGGATTTTATTCTCAAAATATATCTAATGAATATTAAGAGAACATTGGTGCTAAAATGCATTTTGTAGGAAAAAAAATCTAATTGACAAACTTTAATGGGCTTAATTTATCCAACAGGGCTGCAAATGCACAGGCTCTGTAGTTCTCTTTATTGCATTTATTTTGACAAATGTAATTGTGATACAATAATGGGATTTGGATATTGCACTTCAAGCACATAATTTGATTTGTTCTAAAGATGAGAACATGTATACAATTCTCTATTGATGACTCAGTGAAGTGCGATAAGACAATGTGCTCACTGTGCAGGTTTTAAAATCCCAACTAACTGAGAAGTTTCAGACTAGCTGACTCATGCATGTTGCTTCCAGCCAAAGCTGCTTAGGAAGCGAAGTAGTATTCTGAACACTTGGTCACTCGGTGAATATTGAGTGCTGTTGATATGCTATGAAGTGTCGAAGCAGGAAATCTGATGGTGTATTTATATTGTGTATGTATAAGCAGCATTCGTCTGATTTAAGCTGGTTCTGTATTCACTGTGAATGAAGTAAACTGCACAGCCACCATCAACACTGCTGATGCAACAGTAGTCTCTGCTGCAGTTTGGGGTCTTGAGAAGGCTTCCACTTGCAGCAGAGCCTGACTGTAGACTGCCGCCCTGCTAATGTTTGAGGCCTTAATCACTTGGCACTAATGTGAGGTTCATGTTGTCTTTCAGAGAGGCTGCGTCCCAGACTGAACACACTTCAAGGCAGAGCGACAGCCATGGGATAGGGCTACCAACCTCCTGCCTTGCCTTTGGGACTGAAGGTAAATGTACAGAACTTTAACAATAAGATGACCGGGGATAGATTGCTCTACTTTATTGTAGCGGAACCTTCCCATCCACCCCAGCTCTAAGTCAGCTGACAGGCGGTGTGTCTGGCTCAGTGTTACAGTGCTGGTAGAGGAAGACTCTGTACCTGGTCTCAGCTGTGTGGGCTCTGTTTTAGAGTCCGCTGCTTCTGAGCTGCTGCAGAGCGCGGCCCAACGAGAGTGGCCTGTCCTGGTCCAACAGCGGGACAGGCCTAGTGCAGGGCCGCACATTCAGTTACACCACAGGGTGCGCTTACAAACGCAGTGGTTTTGGTGGGGTTGTGCTCTACTCAAGCCTGAGCATCAGGGCTGCAATTAACTGTTTTCATAATTGCCAAATTGTTTCCACTGTCAGAAAATGCAAAAAACCTCAAAGATTGAATTAATATTTGACTAATATAATCAATTTAGATTTCTTACAATATTGTGATAAGTGTGCTTTTCTATAAATTGAACGACAGGCCTGTATTTGTGTTCGAAGTGACGCTGTTCCACACCAGTGAGGAGCAAGTTTCTAGAGCAGTCGGACTTAAACATTTGCAGCTACTGCAGCTTCTTCACACACGTGTAGCATTATGAAAGACTTGACTACAGTTGTGGCTCTGTGCATTTTAAACTTGTCTGACCTAAACGTTTGGTTGTGCTGCAGGTAGAGCCTCTGATGAGCTGCTCAGTGCAGAGCTGACGGGTCACGCTGCAGGCTGACTGAGGGTGAGTGTGGATGAACAGGCTACTCTTCTATATTCAAACAGTGGAGTTCATGCTGTGATGAATGAGAATATAACACATCATGCAGACAAACACCATGGTGAACTGTAATCCCTGAGCATAGCAGCTGACTGTCAGCAGCGGTCAGTGTGGTTCTGGTTTCACCAACGTCTCTTTATTTCTCTCCAGGTGCATGTGGAGCAACTGGCCTGCACGGGGCAAAACAAGGGACTGAGACTCACCCTCAGGTGTGTGTGATAGTCTGTCAGTATTCTGTATGTAGTGTGTAGAGACAATGAAACCCAATCCTGTACTGCCGTGGCAGAGACCACCTCCTCTCTGCTGGGGAATCTTTGTATTGGGAGAGAAATCTCAGGACTTGGCACAGGTTAAGTAAAAACCATTTACCAGAACCTGACTGAAGACCTGAAACATGCTGCTTTTAGTAGTCTTCATACTAAACTTGAGTACGAGCTATCTGCTAACTCCTGTGCTTTGTTTCCTGCCAGGCTGGTCTGAATGAGTGAAGTTCCTGTGGGCTGCTGATGGTCATGTTTCAGCCACGTGTACTCAACCTAACTGAGGTTGAGGCTGTAAATAGAACTTGTTCTGTACATTTTGTTGGATAATGTCCTGAAGGAATCACTTGACATCTACATGAAATTATGTCAGCCTTAATAGAATATAAAATCTGTGGTCTGTGAATCAAGAAGAAATGTGTATAATAAATAAAAAATGTGATCTTGCATCACCTTGATCATCCACGTTAGTGATTTGTCATCGGAGTTAAATTAAAGGCCTGGAGAAAAGATGGGTGTAATTGAATGTGTACTTTATTTACAATAAAAGCCATTATTGGACCAAAGCCATGTCTGTCAATACCTTCTAACAATAGGGGAGGTTCCTACTGAAGATGGAAAATGACTGGTTTCTGATTTCTTGGACAGCTGGGAACAGTGATTTAAGAAAACAGGAGTAAATGGTGTTAGCTAGGGATTACTTTCAGTGGTGGTTTAATCCATATTACTGAATTACAGGAGTTTTTCTGATATTTTTTGATTTTCTTAATACTATGTATTTCTCTGAAATGTGCAGATATATTAATTTTTTTTAATTTTTTTATAAACACCCTTTAAAATCAAAAAGGCACGGCTACTCCCTGTACAGCTTTGCTGATCCCGAGGTTGGGAATCACTGCTCTGGTGAATATTCGGAGCAGAAGGACCGTGTATGATGTCAAAATAAACTGATCATGGTAATGAAGGAATGTGGCGCAACAGTGTGGCTCAATGACCTGTTTTTAATAGTTTGAATAACAATGGAGCTCTAGCACAGAAAGAAGACAACAGGTTTTGAATAAATACTACTTTAAAATGTATAGAATATCTTCAGTTACATACTTGAATTACAGTTGCCATGCAGGCTGTTACTAATTTAAAAAAAAAAAAAAGGTTGATGTGATAAGTGTTAGCCAAACATTCCAGTCACTAATTTGTGACCATTAAAGCAAAGCATTCATATAAAGTCTAGTCACTGAAATCTTAATGCACACTGGCTGCTGTACAAGAGTGATATCACATGAACAGCACAAACCCCAGACTGTCCCTTCCTCACTCTATTTACTGAAATAAATCACAAGTAACAACTAGGAGGATTCATTAAAGAAAAAGATGCCTCTTGTTTGATTTTATTATTAGGCATTTTATTTTTTCACAGATTCTGTCTCATGTACTACTGTCTGGATATAGTGAGAGTTGTTTTGAGTCAATTTGTGATTGTTAACATCTTTGTGATTGTTTACATCTCCTTAGTTGTTTTGAGAAAATCTATCAGTTTCTTTCTCTTTGTCATTGTTTTGCCTGGTTATTTTATTTCTTTTTTTAGTCGTACCTATTTGTTTTTCGTAGCTGTTTGAGTCGCTGGGGTCATTTTGAGGTTTTTTTTATGATTGACTCCCCAATTAGAAATTTTAATCACTTCAAACAGAGGAACCCCCTTGTGCCCCTAGGCTTGTGCACCATAGCCTTGTTCAGTTATCCATCCATGTTTGTACCCTATATAGAAGCAGCTGCATTTATTATGTTTCTCTACTCGTTTATTTAGGTTTTTGTGTTTCCAGAGGCTGACTCGTCCTCTGACAACGGACACAGACACACTGCGGATCCAAACCTAAAGCCAAATGCAGGGTAGACGGGTTCAGTGAAGGTACAGTGGAAGGTGTGGAGG